CAGAGCTCACATCTCCCACGTCTGTCCAGCTGAAGAACTTCCTGTCGACTCCTGGAGCCTGACAGAATTATTAATGGGGCATAAACTGATGTCACAGTTAGTAGACTACGCCCAAATTATAATGCTGAGGCACCCATAGATTCAATAAGTCAAACCCTGTCATTTAGCATAGGAGACCTAGTCTATGCCCACAACTATCCCAGGGAACCAACCTGGGTGCAGGCTAAGGTGGTTGCTATTACCGGTCCAAGATCCTACCAAGTCGAACTAGAAAATGAAAAAACCTGGAGGAGGCACATAAACCAATTCCGGGCCCAAATAGGAAATTCTAGCCTAAGGTAAACAGAAGAAACTCCAATCCAAAGAGCTTCCAATACACCCATAGAAACCTAAGAGTGCTCTGCTAAAACAGCCCTCAGTCACTAACAAAACAAATATCTTATACTCAAACCCAAATAAAACACGCGTACACTCACCTGAAGGTCTGGGGGGTCCTGCGAAGATCTCATGAAGAGGTAGGCCGGGTGGAGTCAGCCACGTCCCAGGAGAAGTTCCAGGTGAATCCATCCACTGACTCTGGAGCAGTGGCAGGCCTGACTGGCCAGGCTGCCACTGCTCGTCCAACTGAACTGTGCAGGTCAAGGCGCAAATTGCACCCACCAATGCCCCACCTACCTGCATGACTACGTACTATAAGCTGTCACTGATTGGGTGAAATACCATTCAGGAGGGGAGGGATGTTAAATATGTAAATTCAAGCAGTACGGTTTCCTCCTGATCTGGGTAAGAGAGATTAGCAAATCTGCTGCTTATTGGTCCATTTGAGCGGCAGAAAAAGTAAAGCACTGTCAATGGCCAGGCTTGTCAGATCCCTTACGTGATACTGCCATTCAATTGGGAGGAGGGGGGCCTTGGAGTTAAATTACTAGCAATACCTGTAACAACTGAGATTTACAACTGGTTTCCTGTCACCGGAAGGCTGGAGGTCCCAGCACCTCTGGAGGGATGTTTATGATGGCCATGTGGGATATCTTACTTTAATGTCTAACTAGTGATAGCCATGGAAACATGTGTTTTATTGGCTCTCAGGGAAGAAGAGTTAAGGAAACATCTTCACACTTGAGTATTGGCCAGAATCTGCATTCTGACAAAGGGGAGGGGTCATTATCAGTTTAATCTCACTTGCATTGCCTAAAGAGTTTCAGATGCTGCTTTGCCTCTAATAGTTTCCATTCTGCTTAATTAAAGGTTCCTTTTGAAATAATCCATTTCAAGAGTCTTTACTTTCTTAAGTTAGGAGAGGAGCCATTACATACAGGCTACCTGACAGAGCCCTTTGAAAGAGGGCGCTGTCAGCCAGCTGAGAGAGGGTTTTTCTAATCACAAAATAAAGAGCTGTAGTTACTTTGGAGTCCTGCCTCTTCATTTACCCCCAACTTAACAGATACTGTAAAATCCCCATTCCCACCCCACCCCTCTAAACTGCTTTCCAGCTCCATTCTCCTGTGCAGGGCAACAGAAGATGACCCAGCTGATCAGCTGGGATGCCAATCAGTTGGGAGGTAGCAAATAGATGGTGGCAGAGCCCGCCAGAGGTGTATTTGTCGGTTCTTATAATTACTCAAAATTTCCCCTACTGGAGAGAGATTGGAAGTTCCTCAGCAAGACAGACGGAGGAGATGTAGGCTCCGAAGAGCCTCTCATGAACTCTGTCTGAAACACCAATGCCAAGATCCTTTTGGATCAGAACCTCTCTTGGGGGGGGGGGAGAGAAGGGCCAGCGTCTCATCAGACCAAGAGGGAGTGCAACAAGTCCCTCGTAGGTCAGAGATTTGCCCTCTGAATCGGTGTCGAGGGAGGCAGCATGGCAACATGGCTGCACAAAACGCTGCTGACCTCTGGTCAAAGCATTCAGCAGGAACGTGTAGGAGATGGGATGAAAAGCCTTTTTAAGAAAATTTAATTAACCAACAAACATAAATCAGAATTTGGAAAAGGTAAAGAATTTTGAGAGTATAAATAATATCAATGGACAGATTAGGATTTTGGCAGAAAGAAAGAAAGAAAAGGAAAATGGGAGGGTTGAAATACCAGA